CCAACTCATTCATCCTGTTTTTCATGATGTCTGAGCCTTCAATCAGAGCTTCCTTGTCTTCTTCCAGGCTCTTAACGTGGAACTGGAGCTCATCTGTTTCTGATCTTAATCTCATTACCAAAGCATTTTCAGAAAAGACTGCAGTTTCCAAATTAACAACTCTCTGCACAAGGTCATCAATTTTCTCCGCAAGCTGTGAAACTGTGAAAGAGCCATTTGAGCTTACTTCAAGCTGCTCTTCGATCTCCTTTCGCAATGCTTCCAAATCTTGTCTCTCTTTTTCCTCACTTTCAATATCGTAGACCATGTTATCAAACTCCGTAGTTGGACTCACGCACTTATGCTTCTCTTGCTGATTTGTTTGTGGGGAGTTAAATTTATTCCTGAGAGCTTCAAACTTCTGATTTGCCTTCTTAATCCTTCGGGATTCTACTCTTGCCTCTTCAGTTGACTGCTCATGTTTTTCTTTCAACTTAGCCAAGGTCTCTTGGCATGACTTGAGAGCTCTAGCTGCCATCAGAGCCCTAGCTTCATTATCATCAATAACGGAGCCAATGCCAAACTCATCCTGTAAATTGCAAACTCTCTTTTGCTTTTCAGTTATCTGGTGTTCAATTTCACAGAATTTTTTATATCCGTGTTCATACGAGCTTTTCACAAACTCCCTTTCAGTTTGCAATTCTAAAATTTCCTTCTGAAGATTGTCTATTTCATCTAGTGCCTCATTTTTGCTCAGCCCTGAACTTGGAAATGCAGCAGCTTTAGCTGAGCTAGAAGCTCTCTTGAGTTGTCCCTTTCGCAACAACAAGACAGACTGGCTCCTGAAATCTTTCTTCAGAAATGGAGCTTTTGGAACGCTTGGTTTTGGGATACTTGGTTTGTCAGCACAAGGGGAAGAAGTTGATGTTTGGCTAACATTTTCTTCATCTTCTTCATCCATGGCAAATGGAACTTGTTCAGGGAAGACAGAGGCAATAGTGCGGTTGGCACTTTGCAGGTCTTTTGATAAGTGATCATATCTTTCAGCTAAAGCTCGGTATGCTCGATAAGATTCTTCCACGATGTTTACAAGTTCTGGTCTCCTCCTGTAATACATTTCTGCCCTCTGTGCAAAGGAGTCTCCATCGTCGTCAATGATTGTGAGCATGCTACTCACCTTCTCCTCCATATCTGTGATTTTCAAGTGTCCATGTTAGCAATCACTCATCTTAAGATGAAATGCATCTATTAGCTGTTGACAATAAGATAATCAATGTTGTGGAACATCAACGAACTAGAATTAGCTGAACAGAAATGGATTATGGATGTCTTTGAAATGGTAGCACATTATACTTTCAACAGTGTAATTTTTCTCTAATGCCAATACATAAAAGAAGTCACCCTCTGGTTGTCCTATATCATTATAAGTTATCTGCCTCATCTTCCTTGACATTTTCCCTTTCAGCCATGTAATTTTATCTCTCTTTCCTAGAATTAGCTATTTCAGAAACATCTTACACCCAAAAAAAAGGAAAACAGTATGGAGAAAAATCAGGCGTGTTTTGATTTTGCCTTATTCTAACAAAGCAAAGAAAATGCAAGCAACCATGCAATGGCGAAGAATTGAAAATCATGGGGTAGACACAACCAGTTATGGATCTCTCAAATAACTAGATTTCTATGATGATCCTATAAGTTGAGCCCAGATTTGAATATATGAGAATGCTTACCTTGAAGGTTCTGTTCCAGCCATTTTGACTGCTTTGTCCTGATGTGGCTTGCCCACCACCATGAATATGCATTGCTTGCTGCTCTCTGCAACATTATTTATTTGGCTGCTATCTGTCTCTCCCTCTAAGTGGAAGGAAAAGAAGAAGAGATTCCATCCATTAACGTTGATGCATTCATGATCATGAAGAATCAATGCTGATGAGTAGAGGGAAACATAGCTTGGTGAAATTTCCACCAAATGGGGTAGAGATGGAGGGGAGGATAGCTCGCCCGGATTATGTGCTGAATCCTTTGACAGGCTCAATTATAGGATGTCCATCTGGCACTATGCCAGTGTCCTTGATCTGCCAGCTTGGCTACCTATAATAAGCAAGCCATCTTTCTCTTTTCAGTTTCATTCAGTTACCCATTTTTTTCTTGTGTCATTCCTATCTTCGAACACTTAACACAATTTACTTATATACTAAATTTCTGTATATTATAGCTTGATGTTCTATTTCTTTGTATTATAAAATTAGTGACCATAAAAAGGAAAAAAAAAATATTTACTTCAGAAATTTATCAATTTTGATTATCCCCGTGCATTGCTTGGGGTCTAGTCTAGTTTCTATATAATGCTAATAACAACCATAGAAACAGAAAGTAATAGCTGCATCCGTTTTACTTTCCTTGTTCTGTTTGCATATTATTCCTTCATTGGATGGAACTGCAAGAACAGATTACAGAGACATGCCAATTCATAGAGCTTTTAGATGGAAAGGAATAACAATGAGAAATCTTAGCCTACAAGGGAGGACGAATTACAAACTTGATTAGTTACAGAGGCCAAGGGAAGAAAAATGTTTTAGAAGTTATAAACAAGGTATCAAAATCTTGTTTTCCATTTCGTTCTGATCTCAACCATATGGACATGGCATCTATAAACAATACTGATCCTCATTATTCTGTCTTTTCTTTTTTCCTTGTTAAACATATATTCTTGGATTAATACTTGATTTTCTGTTTTTTTCCTTTCATTTGTTTTCCCCTGTTTCCAAACAAATGAAAGATAAGATCAAAGTTTAATGGATAAAGAATCTATTTTTAGTCCTTTCGAAGTGTTTCATTTCACAAACAGAATTGGATACGGTTGTAGTTAACGTTTCTGGAGTTGCCTTCTTGCCAGAATCATACAACTATGTTGATCTGTTTTGTCAAAAGAATTGATGAGAGTGCAAGGTCTTGTGCCTTATGGCACATGATGTGCAAAACAGAAAGAGCATTGTGGAGTAGAACATATTGACCTCAACTAGTTCACTGTAAGTTTATCACCATGATGATTACTATTAAAGATTAAGTAAAGATTATTGATCTTCGAAGTGCCATTTTCACCATCATTTTGGGCACTTTTGGTTCTTTGCGTCTTAATCAAAGTCCTGAGCTATATAATGTCTTAATCATAACATTGGACTGGCAACAAAATCGCATGGTCATCCACTGCTAAGTGCGTTTGTTAACAAGAAGAGAGACAGTCGATTACAATGACAAGTCTTAGTACTGTGATTCAATGCATGGCAACGAGTAATCTATCGACAGCCATATGTTGGGAGAAAGAAATACTTGTGTCATTTACACAACACTTGCAATTGTCCACAGATTATTTACAGTAATAAGACAAAAGCATAAATCTGCTTCAGTTTTTAGTATGTACAGCCATATTTACACCAAAGAATTGAATACACACACACAACGTTCTGCATTTATCTTCTACCTAATCTCCCCCGAAATCTCACACACACAATCGAACATAAATCAGCTTCATCTGCGCAGAATGCTAGGACGGCAACCAATCAGCTCCTTACTCTTCAGGTCTCAAAGAAAACAGCGGAAAAGGACATTTCTAGTCCAATATTTCACAGCATGTTTGTCCCTTAAACTGCTATTTCTGTTGGCTCATCAGTTCATACTAGCTCAGATTCTATTCCACTAGAACCCAATAAAGCAAGCCGTCCACCTCCTTCTTGCTCATCCTTTTAAAATTTTACACTATCTACAATATCTTTATACAATATTTATATCAATGTTAAAACACTAGACCATGTTCTTCGAGCAGATGGAGCAACAGTATATGGATTTATATGCAATCTTCAATAGTCCAGGGTATCAACTAGTCTGCAGAGAAGAGAGCCACTGTTCCACATATTTTTTGCTTTCTGCACATTGAAGTTAAACACAAACACAAAGACAGACTTAGCATAATACATATGCTTCAGCAAATTCAACAAAGCTAACAGAAATTATTCATAAAAAAGAAAACCTAGCCTAAGATTTCTGCCATTTAATCTAAGGCAAGAAGCAGTTCCGATAACACCACAAGACACCTAGTAAAAGACAAGGGGAAAAATTTTTTTAAGCATTGGAAAGGAGGATGGTTGGAACTGCATGATTGTAGTTCAGTAGCAAGGTATAAATAACAGTAGTTGGAAACCTATAAGGGCATTTGACATCCGAATGATTGCCTTACAGAAAACAAGACAACAATGTGTGAGTTAATCAAAATTCAGTAGACTTCAGTAAGACCTACATATAACCCAAACATATGAGAAAAATGCAACCAATCTGAGAATCAGTTAAAAACGGCTGCACAGAGCAGTAGTCAGTAACAGAAACAAATTAAGGACAATAGCTGAACAGCAGCTCCCAAGTTGGAACCATCAATCACTTCAGTATATTTACTTCAAATGTTTATTCCATATTTTAATCATCACATCTAGCAATGCTTACATAGCCTACACCTTGGAAAACGATCTTCAATAAAGATCTCCAAAATGATTTGATAGGTCTCTCTTCCAATTAAGTGCACTCAGACACTATTTACCCCAGTAAGCAGGAAAGTGCAAATTATGAGAGCAAGAAGCCAATCAACAGAAGAATAAGTAAAATATAGGCTAGACCAAATAATGTCAAATTTTCAGAATCGTTAATAGGGTTCATCCAAGAATTTGAAAGAAAATTTTCACAGTTCAATGCCGTAAAAATCTCACAACCAGCTAAAATCACTTATCTCCTGGTTTGCAAATAATTATTGCCAAAGTCATCAAGAAACACTGTATGGCTAGTTAAATGTCCAAAATCTAGAACATTATTAGTCTGCCCCTATTTTCCTAATGCAAACAATTCAAGCAATTCAGCATTACCAGTATACAAGTTCAAAAACCTACAGAAGTTTCACCTGGGATTGAGTTCATAAACCCAGGAGCTAAAAATAGTGCTAGCAACTGGTCCATCACCACACAAGTGCTGTGCTAAATCTTAGGCTTTCCATATTCATAAATAATATACTTAAACAAGATTTCAACAACTCAGAAGGAGAAATAACCCTCTATACAGTTCCCAGCATTCATCTCCAGATTATTTCTCATGAATATCAATATCAAAGACTTGAAATCTAAACCAAAGATTCAAAATAGTCAATGACTGCTAAGCAACAATAAGACGAAACAAAAGTTAAAAAAAATGTCCTTAATATTAATATGGGTACGAAATGGTCTTACCAGCAGAATAATTGTCAGGAATGTTGACAATGGCACCCAGAATTTTGTGCTTTGAATCCTCCACCAATTTATCCTGACTGTGCCCATAGCAAGGAACCAGTACAGCAAAACTGTTGTCTGAATCATCATCACTCTGGAATCCAGGTCCGTGAGGCTCCAACCATCCAATGGAGTAATCAGAACCATCAGACTCAGACCCTGAAACACAGCCTCCATCAGATGGCACAAGAACTACATCATATTCCCTATCAATCTTTCTTTCTTCCCGGCTATGCCATTTCCTCTTAACTCTTCTCGATGAAGAAGCCATATTAGCCCTCTTGACCAATGGGAATTTCAGATTATCTGATTCCCATAAACCTGAATCAGGCGAAGAACTTAAAGAAGATCCATTAGCAATTCTAGGCTCTTGATGTTTCCCACTCCATAACCACCATGAAAGATGAGTAAAGGCCACAGCCATATGTTTAATCAACCAAAGCAAACTATTGTTCCAAATCTTTTGGCACCAAAAATATTTGTAATGTGAAACACAAATATAGCTAATATCCAACCCCCAGCAAAATCCAAATCAGTTGATAGGCAATTTGATCAGCACTTTCTGCACTTAAAACAAATCACATACTTAACAAACTGCATTCAACCATAATTCACCAAAGCAATTAGATTTAGCAAAAACAACCCATTAAATGAAACTTTATTGAACCTCGTATTTTCGTTGGCTTCACTCTCAGAAAATCCTTCCTTTTTTTTATTGAAAAAATACAAATTTTTTATCGTTTCCTTGTAGACAACATAAAAATACACTCTTCAACAATATCTACTGTCAATACAATGAATTTAGACATAACCCAGAAGAACAAAAAGGCTTACGTGGTTAGCTGGTCCTATAAAAACAAACAAAATATCCTAAAATAGAAAGAAAAAGAAGACCCTTTTCTCTGCTAAAATTAGATTTCTCAAATTTGACTTAAAAACAAACTGAAAACCTTTTTCCTTTTTCAATTTTTATTTACATTTTCTCAATCGATTACAGACTCAATTCATAGAAATCTCAAAATAAAACATTTAAAGACACCCAAGACATCCCAAAAAAAAAAAAAAGAGAGAAAGAGACTTTTAAAGTAAAGCTTCCTCTTTGACAGAAGCAAAACAAAGGAGACAAAAACCCAAAATTCGTTCCTTGTGTTTCAATATTCGTATATGAAGAAGAAGATTCAATGGAAACATATAAAAATTAAACCAAACAAAATATTAGTACCTTAAAAAGCCCCCCAAGCAAAATGAGAACACACCCCGATTTTCAGATATTCTGCAGAATAATCAGAAAAAACGGTGATGGACTCGAAATCCCACAAATTTTTTTTTTTTAAGCTCTCCCTTCACTTCCAGGAATCAGTTTTGTTTTAAAAGAGCAAGATTCCCACATAAATCAGAGTTCCTTTTGGTTTGGATTGCTGAATCCTTACGGATTCAACCAATTATATTTTACAGCGGATAAAAACAATAAAAAAATTTTCAATTATTTACTGAGGAGTTTTCTTCTCTGCAGTCGAGAGGAGGGGAACCTTTTGACAGATTGGTGGATGTAAGGGTATGTTTTGGAAATTCCAGGACATTAAATATTTTCAGCTTATTGGTGATTGGTTGTTTCGGGCCAAGAAGATTGATTGACTAGGCTGTTTTTGGGTGTAGGGGATTGACGATACTTATGGCGGAATTTCAGTATCAGGTCAGAAATAGGGTGCCGTAGAAAATATGACGTGGCGGTGGATTTGACCAGGAAGAAACGTGTGAGTGTGGTTCAAGTAAGCCCACGTTCACTTCCTGGGAAATTCCGACCTATTTTCTCTATGTTTCTGTGATTCGTTACAATTTGCATTTTTTTCCCAAAAAAAAAAAGAAATTACCAATTATTATATAATTATTTATTTTAATATTTAATTTAATGATAATCATATAAATTTTTTTTCCAAGTTAAATCCCTTCACTCAAATCAAAAAAATTAATCACTCTAATATAATTAGAAAACAATTAGATAATTCAACTATTAAACACATGGTAACCACCGTCCTTCCAATTTGAAAATTCTCAATATGTTGCTAGTCTAGATCCAGATTGAATTGCTAATTATCTCTTAAAGGGGTAGGTGTTTGATTGGGTAAACAGGACATGCATGCATCTTTCCTTCATTCATCCTCTCTTGATCATCATGTTTTGCTTATGGTTAATTATTCCTAGGCTGCTAATCTTGGAAAATTTCCATGTACCTTGAAGGAAACATCATATTGTTAATACTAATTAACTAAAGTTTAAAATTGATTGATTGGTAAGGGCCCAACAATGACATTTTTCTTCCTAAGTGCTTGGTTTAATAATAACTACTACAAGGTTACAAGGCTCACAACAAGGTATTTCACTATGAATTATATTGATTGGTACTGAGCTTCCTACTCGAGGAAGGAAGTCTTGGACATTGCCATACATATCCGCTTGGAGCCCCATGTATTGGGATAATCATGAATTATTTGTACACAATGATTAGCTTCCCCAAACAATTAAAAAAGCTGGAGGAGGATAAAGTACCAAACCCAGTATTAGATTCTTTGGTTTATGCTTGGAAAATTCCTTCATCCATGCAGAATCATTCCATGAAATTCCCATTCAAGAAACAGCCATTTAGCTAATGACAGGTTAAACTGGCCTTTATAGGGTTTGCGGCTAAAGCCTTACACCCTTTCTCCCTCATCCACAGGGACCCAAACATAAGGACAAATTCATCAAACAACATTTTTGGCAGGCTCTTATTCTTCCACCAAATCAGGGATAGGACCACAAAAGAGAATCCCCATCAAATATTATTTTTCCATGTATCCGCTTTCTGGTTTCAATCATTCATGAGAGTGACGACAGATCTCATATCAGCCCACCAACGGTGCACATGGGAGATCTCTTGTATGACAAAGACCAAGCAGAATTTAGAAATTTTTCTCCCATTATAATTTGTTCCATATCAGCCTAGGCAGATTTCCAGCATGGAGGCCTTGGCCGTATAAAATAGAAGATTGAGAAATGTATGGCTTTGGAAATGAAATAGGGAAACTATGGGACCCATCCAACAGACCCAAAACTCACCATGTTTTGACACAATCATTGCGGAGATTTTGGGTTTGGGCAGTTGCCATGTTCTTTTTAGTCACCTGTAGGCTTTGGTTGGGATAATTGTTAGTTCAAACCAATCGAGAGTTTAACACTTGTAAGATATGTCTATTGGATATTTTGAGGGAATAAAAGGTCCGGAAAACCCTGAGAGGAAGAAACTTTGTGATAGAAAATGTGTTTCGAAGATGCTATGGGAAATCATCTAAAGTTGATGGCCAAAGCATTTAAGCCTGCTTTGATACTTATCCCAAAGTAAGGACTCAATTTTCTAGTATGTTCCTTCCCTTCCGGCAACAACCAATTTCACTTCAATATTTCCTTCACGTTTTGAATTACGGCTTTGATTCTCTTTATGTATTATTCTAATGCAAGGAATAAATGCTATTAATCCTATCATCTTGACATCCATAGGAACTCTTTTTTTCTTTTATTTTTTCTTTTTGACAAAGAGATCGAGGTATAGTACTTAGTTGGGTCAAGTTCGTAAGAGTGAAAGGCCCTATTGAAAATTTGATAGGCCCATTAGCCCTACACAAAACCAACCCCATTACACTGATGAGTTGATACAGTTGACGGCGTCGGTACCTTGTATTTATCTGTATGCAATATTTCTTGTTTGAGAGGCAAAAGATGGGAGAAACTTGAACCATTAATCCAGATGTCGGCGAAGAGTTGGATTGAATCCCCTTGTGAATTACCAGCTTATACTAGTAGTTGCTCCTCAAAGTTAAGCGTTTGCCTTCTGAACTTTTGAAGCATGCACATCTTTTGTTGTGCATATGACCAGTAACGTTGACAGAGATTAGAGATTGTTGCTTCGGCAGTTGATAACAACAAAATGGTAAGATTAGCAAGTGACACAGAATAAGTGAATAGATTAGTCTGTTGTCATGAAAAAGGTATTATCACAGCGACTTTTCGCTTTGACTACCAAAGATTTGATCTCACTCCACAATAGAAACCTCATAATCTATACCCATCACAAACCTCACCCAAATGAAAAATTACACCAATGTTGGATCCGATTGCTTTCTTTGCAAGGAATTCTTTTAACAACTACATCTACAGTACATATTTTTTCCTACATAGCTGGATTAAAACCTCAATGGCTAGGTATGCTAAAGACAAGAAGCCATGTACTACGTAGCTTGGTCTGTGCTCAAAACCTCCAAATTCTTGGTGCATCCATCATTTACAGAGGCTTCAGGTTGACTGTCACCTTTTTTAATTAATGAACAATCAATGGCATTTTGACTCTCTTCAACCAGATTTGTAATAGCATCTAGTTGATTACCCTCAACCATTGATTTCTCACTAGAATGCTCAGCAACAGCCTCAAGATTCTTCCACTCGGATTCTAGATTTGACACAGCCGGTTTATCTTCTCTAACTCCCTCACCTTGTTCATTTTTTGACACACATGCTCCATTTTCTTTCACCAGCTCTTTAGGTAAACTGTCTGACACAAAACTTTTGTTCTCTCCTGCAGCGTCCAGCTCTTCCTTCAGTATACCTTCAACAGTTGGACTCGAGTTAGCAGTATTACACTGCTGAATCGACACATTTAATGATGAAGAAGAAGCAGATGGAGTATGCTCAACTCTTTGTATTGGAGATTTTACTGAACCAGGATTCAAGGTAGAAGATGTAACAGGACAAGAAAGCGGTTCAGCTGTTAGGCCAGTACAAACATATTGCACATTAGAATGAACCTCCTTACCACTGGGCATGAGAGGTTTAACAGAAGAGCCACTGGAAGTCATAATATGAATAGCATTTTTGGACTGAGCAGCCTTGAGCAACGATGCAGCAGCCTTTGGACTACCAATGCGAGCCCCAGCAGCAACAGCAGTCGCATCTAAGATTGAACCTGTACTAGAAAAAGATTTTGCTGGCGGTTTTTTTAAGCCTACTAGAGATTTTAAAGTAGAACCTGACGATCCCGGGGAGGTTTTTGTAGTCATGGGACCTTGTTGAGACTGATTTGAGACTTGGAGTGAAGCAACAGGACCTTGCTGAGACAGATTTTGGGCAGGAACAGAAGTAATTGGACCTTTTTGAGGCTGGTTATGAGCTGAGACAGAAGTGATAGGACCTTGTTGCGACTGATTTTGGGCTTGAACAGAGGCAACGTGACCTTGTTGAGATGGATTTTGGGCTTGGACAGACGCAATGTTACCTTGTTGGAACTGGCTTTGGGCTGGAACTGAAGCTTCACCACTAGTACTTGGAAGAGCAGAGTTGCTGGATGTGGTCTTCAAACCTGGCCCAGTAGACATGCAGTTAGTCCATTAAAAAGAGAAACAATAGGCCTAAGCTGGAGGGAAAAGAAAAGGTTTCTGCAATTTCATCAGTTCAGCTTTGCTTGTTCAATAGAATGTCGCCACATAAAACACTTCAAAGCACTAAAACTAGCATTATATGGAAAGATTACCAGGGTTACTTGGACAAGCTGATGTTAAGTTTTTATCCGGCATATCTAGGGCTAAGGATAAAGCACTACGAGTTGCCAACTGTGCCTCAGAAAGTTGGGGACTAGTTGAGTTTCCTTCCACATTTAAGTTGCCAAGTCGCTTCTTAATAATAGTCCACCTCTGCAAATAATAGAACAAACTTGCCACAATTAGCAGCAGAAAAGGCAGAGAAACAACCATGCCAGTGGGGAGCCTTCATTCACATGACCCAAGTTATAGCCATCCAATCAAGATTCACAGAATTGAACATAAAAATAAAAAAATTAATACACAGTTGAAAGAATTCCGTTGCCGGGATTTGAACCCGGGAAAAACTGGGGAAAACCCAGACATCATGACCGGACTAGATGACAACGGATTGTTATTCTAGAGCAGCTATTATGTTGACATGACTCAAATAGGTAAAGAAAAGGCTTTTCAAAAAAAAAAAACAGGGACACAAAAGAAGCTAATTATTTGTGATATGGGAACATGCACAACAAAAATAAAACCACTGCTGTCAAATTTCACCAACGTTATGTTTTCAATTCCATATAGAAAAATAAAGTAAATGGTAAAAATATCCTTCATTTAAAGAAAAGGGAAAAGAATAAGGAACACACAGAAGCATGCACGTATATGAGGTACAAAAGCTTAATGCCAAACTTAAGAGAGGAGAAAATCATACACCACAAAAAATGAGAGCAAATTAAGCTTTTTCTATCACATAATATGTATATAACATTAGGTAATACAAACAATTAGATCCCCAAGGCAAGATACAGCTGGTAGCTGTTATTAACCAAAAGATACCTTTCACATCAACTAGGCAGATCCAGTTTAACATAGAAAGACAGAATTACTTCAGTGAATCTACTAACTTTCAAATCTACTAGATGTTTTATTTTAATTCTATTAATTCTTAGCTCCTCAAGCAACATCATACAAAACTAGACTTTGTTTCTACTAATTTTACTACTTCAGTGAATTTACTAACTTTCAGCTCCACACAAAAAGAAAGGTGCATTTGCTTCTATATGATGCATAAATAGCAGGATTAATATGACACTAAAGGAAACGGACATCCAAAATAAACAAATTCAGTTTGGTAATCAACCTGAGCCAGCTGTGAAGCACTTCTATCTCCCTTGAAGTCTCCTCGCAAGATGTTTGCCCAATTCCCAACACCACATTTCTGCACAGCAGCAATAAGTTCCCTATCCTCTGCTTCTGACCAAGGTTTTCTTTTCCTTCGAGCAGGCAGGTTGGCACCAGATAGTCCGTTTCCTTCCAATGATGTTTCAGTCGATGTCACTGCAGGTAGAATCTGTTTCTGAACAGAGACTGGAACAGTGATATTCATCCCTCGCATAGAGCACGAGGGCTGCGAGTTTTCTGAAGAAGCTCTAAATGACTGCCCATTAGGTATATTTATTGTTAATGGAGCCTCTACTGTTGAGCTGTTCGGGAGACTTGAGTCACTTGGTAAACCAGAAGCAATCAGCACCTGACAAAAAGAACCATTTGAGCTGACTGGGCTTGGGAAAAAGTGAGCAATAAGATAAATCGTTGTTTTGAAACTTAACCAAGAGCAGGTAGTCAGATGGACGAAGCTATTATCTGTTTGACTTCCAGGAGGTTATAGTTATCTGTTTGATTTCTGGTAGAGGTTTTAGGTTAGCCTTTGACCAGATTAGGTCAAAAACTTTCTTCAACTGGTAACACTTCCTACGAGCATGCCGGTTTAAATATTTGTCAGACTTGATAATGTTCCAACCATTGAAACAATTAGAACGCAAGTAACTGGTAACATATACAATCAACCAGCCACAACAAATGGATTTGGTGTTAACTTTGTTACTTGTCATTTATAGTTTCTACACTACCATTTACCTCTTTCCATTTGATTAAATCATCGTAAGAAGATGAAATACATTTAGACATATACTTTTTTATGGAAATACATTTATTTACTTACTTTCACACATGCTGCAGCCTCTGCTGAAGCTTCACTGCTAACAGAAGGGCAAGGTTCCAATTCATATTCTAAGTCACTGTCATCATCCTGCAAAATAAAAAGTTAACAAATGAGACTAGAGTTATAATAACTACCAAGAACACTTCTCCTTGAACCAAAAGGACTTCTTTACAATTAAAAAAACCATGAATTTAGCCCTTTGATCAGTGGACAAAATATGATCATAAATTCCAAAGCCAAACTAAACTTTAGAGTAGCAAGCTATAAGGCAGAATGTCTGGAAACACACACACTCTCAATTAACCAAAAAGTATCCCAACGTACAGAAAAGATTCACATCATATTGAAATAGTATATTAATTTATGGGGCATTTTCTTTTGACAGCTATCCCGACAAGACATTTCAGCATATTCACATCACGTAAAGCAGTAGCTAAACAGCTTAAAATCTTTAAAATGAAGAAACATATATGCAAAAGGTTTAAAAGAAAAAATGAAAACACAAAACTGACCATGGGTTCAGCCCCATCTTCCAATTTTTCAAGCAACACGTCCCGGTAGGCCAAATGGCGCCATAACATCTGGTATTCCCTAGCATTAGAAATCCCAGTAGAAGTCTTTTTGACTAAAGCATTCCAATTCAGCTTCACACCAGGAAATTGTGCCACTTCTTGTAACAGTGCCAACACAGTAGTTGCTGTATACCTGTCCAAACCAAAATTTAAAAAAAATAAGAAAATACTCAAAATAGAAAAAAAAAAAAAAACAAAGTAAAGATAAAACTGATGAAAATAAGAAAAACCAATAAAAAAAAATCCAAAAGAGACCTTTGTAAAAGAGTAGAGATATCTTCCTCACTGACTGAACCCTTTTTCTGTTTCTTCGTTTTCTCAATCATATTTGTTCTTTACTGGAAAATCGCATATTATGGATGGTGAGATTAGTGAAAATAAAATAAAATTGGACTTTGGAATCAGTAAAAACCCTAGGTAGGGTTTAAGATAGAGAGAGAAAAAATAACGGAAAGGGGAAGCCAAAACCCTTTCACTGGAGAGAAGTTGACGGGAAGAAGAAGGGAAGAGACACAGAGGAGAAGCGTGTAGAGTGATTGATGGGAAGGGGACTGTTGAAGAGCGTGGAAAGCACGCGCCTGACAGGGTTCTTGCGGAGAAAGAAACGGGAATCTCTCCGGGGTCTTCTTTTGTTTTAGCCTTCAAATAAAAAACAAGGGAAAGAAAGGGAGAGAAAAGAGACGGTGATTAGGACTCGGGAGGCCTCTCTCGGGGACTAAAGAGTGCATTCATTGACGAGAATACCCATCCTTTCTTCCTACAATTGCGGTTTTGCTGGGATTTGAGGCCTATGATTAATATTTACTCACGCTTTTTCTTATGTTTTGCGGGACTGGGCATCTAAAAGGAAGTCTTGGTTGTATTGAAGAGTTGCAACGTTACATTTTTAAAAAAATTGCCAAATAGTAGAATTTTTTTTTCTTATTTTTGTAGATGGTTAAATAATTAATATATTCAAGAAGTCAAGTCCAGTGCACTATTTAATATAATTCCTCTTGAGGCAAGACGAAATGAATTGAAGAAGCATGGTTGTCTAGCATGAACTGTCAAATTAAATTACATGAGTATGCTCCATCAACCTCTTTTTCATTCCAAACAAAAGGTTCCAACTTCCAGGTGTATTCCAACTAAAACAAAAGTAAATAAATAAAGGAGTGCATGAATTGTACCCCTTTGACATTTTCCACGCGACTTGATCTTCAATCCCTTGCCAAGTCTAAAAACAAATAGGATGATGTTTCCTTTCTCTTCCCTCTTTTTTCTTTCCTCGTTTGTGTGTGAGTGTGCCTTCAACTCGGAAGGTAGAATCTCCACAACCGAAAGAGCAAACGAAAGAGAGAGAGAGAGAGACAAAAATATGTAGACAAAGCAGCATTGTCGAGAACAAAATAAACGTGGGAATCTGAGGAATGTCAGTTCATACAACAGCAACAGCTCATGCATCATTACCTTAAACAGAAAAGCGTTGGATTTTAGTAGGTCCGCTGGACCTGTACAGCGGATACAATAAATACAGTTTCCCTCAGAAGACGCTCCTGTGTCCTATTGGACAGCCAGCAAACTTCTGCTGGTGATTGGATCTTTTTTTTGAACAAAAACATTTTGGGGAAAAACATAGTTGCAGAGTAGAAACCATGATCTGACAAGGCTACTTCACAAACCATGCACATTTTCTATTTTTCTCCCCCTTTTTTTATTTATTCACCATGCCCAAATAGGCCTTAGTTTTTCTAGTTTAAGAGACAATACTTTTGGAAAAACAACCACGAATGATAACCATCCAAAATAACCTAGAAACAGCTTTGACTATGTTTTGACATCCTTGTAACTAGCTATCATAGTTTTCCCTATTTGAATTTTGAATGAAGATGGGGAAGTCTGAAAACCAAAAGATCCTTCTAACTGAATATTATTTTTAAAAGAAAGAAATGGGGGATTAACATCTAGCAAACGGCTCTCATCACAAGATGAAACCAGATTATGTTTCCGCTATCACTATCCAACCGGCTGCTTTTACTCCAGAAGGGCAGGGATGAACCAGTAAAAGAAGCTAAAGCTAGAAAAGAAATCCACCACCATATTTGGCACGGATGTTGTAAAGAACCTCAGAGAAAATGAAAATGGCCAGCATCACCAGACATCTCTAAGATATCGTCCTTCCATCTGGAGTTTCTTCACCATAGATTCTGCCTTTGATGAATCCACGCTTTCCTGAAATTTATATATAAGGCAATTTTGAAATTAATCCTTCTAAAAATCAAGAAGTGCCTATTCAATAGAGCACCGAATTTACAATAAGCGAGGCCATTAACTCCCAATATGTGGTGATGGCGAAACAGTTGACCATTTCCTGAAATAACTTAAAACAATTTATCTGAAGAGAGAAGAAAATAGAAAGAGACGATAATTTACCTGCTCCTGAACAATGGTGTGCAACGTGCGATGAACATCTCTTGCCATACCCTTAGCATCACCACATACATAAAGATATCCTCCCTTAGAAACTAGGCTCCACATATATGCTGCCTGTACACCAAAAGCAACAGATGTTATAGTGCACAGCTTTTATATCAATAACTGCAATCTCTGTCGGTTCCTACTTACTTTATCCATCATCTGATGTTGAACATATTCCTTTTGTGGCCCCTCTCGTGAGAATGCAAGAATGAGCTCAGACAGGGCACCTTGTTCCACAAAGTTATTGAGCTCATCCTCATAAATAAAATCCTACGAAAGTGGCCAAACTAATTAATAAATAAAACCCTACATGTAAATATCAACATCGACAGCCAGTTACAGTAAGACATGCTAATAATGTTGCGAAAAGATTATTAGTGTCAGAATTTGGATCCTAACCATTCGTCGGTTCCTACATCCAAAAAAGAGTAGGGAGGGACCAAGTTGTGCACCATCTTCTTTAAGGACCATTCTTTCCTGCAAACAGCACTTAGTTAAGTTATTTTCTTCTTTTCTGTCAAGTACAGGAACATATAAAACAGAGATTAACGAACCTGTAGAAAACCTCTGAAAGGTGCCAATCCAGTCCCAGGTCCAATCATGATAACTGGAATTGAAGATCTGCTGGCAGCTTGAAATTAGATTGCCTGATAAAAATAGGAGCCCAGCTACAATCATGGCTTTTCTCGAAAGGAACTGCATTCTGGATTTTTCAATTCAGTTAGATGAAAGATGCCACTAAGGCCTAAGTAGAGTCTACCAGGTGGCAAGGGGAAGGGGTGGGGTGGGGGGGGTGCATGGGAGAGCAACAGAAAAGATTAATTTAAGGCTCAAGCACTACCTTCATCCAGGTTGAACACACCCCCCGGTGAATTCTTCCAGTTGGAGTTGGGCCATAAACTAAAGCACAGGTTACATGAACTCTATGGGGCACAAATCTGCTCAAAGTAACCAACCTTCTTATATATCTTAGGTATAAGGTATTTTAATACTGCATATTGATAATATAGAAGGGACAAATTCAATCACCTAGGAGAGGATGAGATAGAATAATAACGAGGCTGTAAACGAGGGGCTACCGCAGCAAAAAATACACCAAGGGGAGCTTTTGCTGATGGGAACTCAGCCATAACCTCAAGAAGACTTCTCTGACTTCCAACAACCCATTGTGAGTACTCATCCTGGGCAAAAGCAAGACATTGAAAAGGAACAACAACACATAAACATAAGAAACATAGGAAACAAGAATAACAAACGTGAACAGACAAAAGGAAGAAAAGAAAAAGCAGCACTAAGTATCTTATCAACCTTCCCCAGAGGTGATGATAAAAACTTAAGTCTTTCTGCTTCACTGGGTTCAGTGGCATGAGCAGCCAAGGCAATCAAAGCAGCCTGACATCAAAAACAGTTTGGAAACAAAGAAACAATCAAGATTATAAAAAAAAAGGCCAGATATCAGGTGGGAATCTTTTACTTCTTTTGAGAAAGGTTTGTTGGGGCAGTCGGGAGTGGGAGGTGGGGAGGGATTTACCTTTCGTGGAGGGTTTAAGAGATCTGAATATCGTGCCAATGCTGTACGAAGTGTACAGGGACCGGGGAAAGGCGGTGGCAGTGAGCTTCCAAGGGATGTGCCATCCTCGTTGTCAGTGTGCACAGAAAACAGTAAATCCAGAGGTTGACCCAACAATCTTGCAGCTTCCTCCACAGTCTCTATGCAATTGTCAGTATATACACCAACATGGTCTCCAGTTTCATATCTGGGACAGTTAAACTTATTAGTTGTACGAGTATAAGGTCATAAATCATAAAGCAATATTATCTATTTTTGAAAAACAAAATCCATGGGGGTCAAAAGGCACTTAAACATAGAAAAATAAAAATAATACTTCACAGAGAAGCAGAGTGATAGGAATGGATGCAAATGTTAAAGCTCATCTAAAATCCAAATGCTATTTCTACCTCAGTGAAGCATCAGTCAAAATTCATACACTTCAGACTGCAGAATTTTACAGGATATTTTAATCGAAGAGAAAAAAGGGGCCATAATTTGCATGCCTGCTAGTATGAGTGTGTGTGTGTGTGTGTGTGAGAGAGAGAGAGACAGACAGAGAGAGAGAGTACATCTAATTAGCAAAAGAAGGAGCAACCATATTAAAGGTTCTTAATACCTATATCAATATCCAAATATGTGGACATATTGGCAGAACATGGATAGGAAGAAGAAAATATCAAATCAATAATTAAAAACATTTCCAATTAACCATATAGAACGATAAGATTTAATGGTAAGAGCTGCAAAGACTATATTTTTCCCTTTTTCTGAAAGATTCTCAGACACAGAATTAATTCCCAAAAAATCAATTTGTACTTTATATTAACAAGCATTTCGAAGCTGTGAACTCACATAATTCCAGTCCCAGATATGTCGAACTCCAGATGTATGCAAGAACGATCAGATTCAGGCTTGTGAAGCTCTCTCTGAACAGCAACATTAACTCTGTGTTCAAATCACATAGCAGTGATCTCAGAAAGGAAAAATAGGAGTAGAGTGGGGGAGTGAGAAAACCAACACAATGCACATCTCTTATTACCTGCATGGATGGTGGATGTCATATGAAGCATTCCCATTTGCCATGTTTGAGTAATTATCCTCAATGTGCATCACAGCAGGATCATGAAGCACTACTCGATATTCAGGAATAGCAGCTGTATATGGGGTAGAGACAGTATTTGCATCATCCTCATCTCTAAGCAATTGATCTAACTCTGGCCACAGCATTTCCCTCCTAAGGAAGGAACAAAAAACAAAAAAAAGAAAAAATTACAGTAAAGCTAACAGGGCCCATTATTGAAGTCTTGTCCAAAGAGAAGCTCCATCTTCATGAACTTAAGATGATACTTCAGCTTCAATAAGAAACTGCAACAGAATTGCTGAGAGAGACAAGATAGCGACAGAGAACGACTGCAAGAAGACTACATACCAAGCAGTAAAATCATCTTCAATACATTGATCATCATCACCAAGACCAACTTGGATAAGACGTTTAGCACCTGCTCACAAAAGAAATAGTCTCACAGTTAGTAAAAATTGAATATCAATCATTCCCTTCGATTTCTCAACATTAAAGTTTAGATGCAAAGAATAGCATAGGGCCACGTTATGAGCTATTTTTCCTTTAACGGAAGGATGATGACCCAATGGTGAAATCTCTTTTTCATGACTTATTTTTAAGGCAATTCTTAAAAGATGTCCATGAGAGCCCAAAAGGGATATGCTTATACGTATAGTACCCAAGAACCTTGACTATTCAATTGTCATCTGAACTTCCCAATTCCCACCTGACGTTGAAATTTTGACTCCGCACTCAATAACAAGAAAAAGATTGCCATCAATTAGATAAGAAGGATTCCACATTGCACAATAAGTAAAATAGAAAAATACCTTGTTCAGAAAATTGCTCATCCAGCACCTTTGCTATCTATTTCCCAAAAGAGATAATCAAATCAGATTACACAAGAGCAATGAACAAAAACAAGATAGCAAGCAAAATCATGAAATCTCATGCCTTATTTAATGGGTGGATCCTGTGTCTCTATGTCAATGTTACCTTATTAAAATGTTCATATTGACGGTTACCCAGACCAAAAACACCATATGTCAGTTGTTGAAGCCAGGGCTCCCTTTCATTTCCCTAAAAGTAGAATAAAACATCTTAATAATGAGCGTTAATTAACAAAACATGGTGAATGCTGGCATAATACAAATTTTAAATTTGAATGTTCTTTTGAGGTAGCCACCAACCTCAGTAAACCATTTGTAAAATCTAGCAGCATTATCAGTTGGCTCGCCATCTCCATAACTACAATGCCACTCTCAACTATATTAAATGCCCCATACTTTACAGAAAGCCAAGACAAATATACAATCCAAAATATCAGCAGTAGAAGTAAGAATCTATCTTACGTGGCCACCATGAAAAAAGCCAAAGTCTCCTTTTTGAGCTTCTCTTCATATTGCTCATCATCCAGAGCATAATCATCCTAATATAAAACATACACAATGTGATGAACGTAATCGTAGATACTAGAATGAAATCTCAAGCAAGAAAACAAAGTAACAGAATAGTTCCCTATACATACCAGGTCAACAACTTTGACAGCTGCTTTCTCATATCTTGCCTTGATCTCTTCTGCCAAAGCCTACAATAGGAAATTCTTATATCAAAACATCAACATCTAAATAATAACATGTCCTTTCCATTCATGTGGTGCCACGTGCCAGGAACACGTCAATTTCGGCCCAGTCTAACGGCAACTAACAGAAATATATAGAGAAAAGGCCTCCCTGTGTAGAAAAATAGCCGCTATTGGCGACACAACAATTAATAACAAATATTTACCACCAAAATATATTGCCACCACGTTTCCAGCTACAGTAATGCCCCAATTTCTATGAGCTCTGAGTGACAAAATCTATGGAGACTTAAAAACTTGGCAAAACGATACTATCACTAAATCTCCACTAAATAGAAAAGTTAATAGAACTAAAGCTATCAGCTCGATTCATGTATTCTTAGAGATCGTATGAAATGTACAGTAAACTTGAAGTATTGCCTTTAACCCTAAATTTCATCACAAAATTAACTTTACAAGAAACCATTCCCCTCATCTCTTTGCCACTTCTTAATCCTTGATCTGTATCGTGTAAATAGGTACACCGGCAACCCAATTAGTTACAACGAATCAGTGATGTAAAGCTGAATTAGCAGACAGCAATTCTGTACCGTATTTCAAACAGCAAAAAGATTTCAGTTCCCTCAACTAGTCAACAGTCAACGTCTTACATTTTCAACATAACAATCAAATCATCACACTCAGCAATCAAAATGAAAAGTTAACAGTTTCTTTTCCATTTTTCTTGTTTTTACCTTAGCAAATCCCTCAGCGGTTCCCGTCTGAGTGCCGTAAAATATGGTAACTTTAGTTTTACCAGTGACGATAACGGCGTCATCATCTTCATCGTCCTTGAGTGAAACAGGCTTAGGGGCGACCAACGGCTTGACATCGTGGCTACGTTCAGAAGCCGATTTTTTCCAGAGAAACACCAAGAGCCCCAGAATCACCGCCAAAGACGTCGTTGCGATCACTATCATAGAATCCGTCACCGAACCCCCTAACGATACTCCCAACACCGACTCAACAAACCTCACCAAATCCGAGCTGGAACTCATCTTTAACCCCCAGAAAATAAGGGGAAAAAAAAAAGAGAATCCCAAAATTAAAGTAATTAGAAATGGAAAAATCTAGTGAAAAAACCTAGTAGATTTTGGGGCTGGTGGTGATCAGAGCTAAAGAGGGTGGGGTTGAAATAGTGTTTGTTTTCGGGAGAGGGACCCAGAGAGACGGAGAGAAATGCTTGACCAGAAAATATAGGGAGCGAGAGAAAGAGAGAGGTTCCGGGTTTTATTTATTTTCTTCCTGCTTTGGATAGATGCACTTTTAATAGCAATTATTATGGGAAAAACTTTCATAGATGTTTTTCTTTTTCCGTTTTCCGTGTTCGATTTCATTACAGTAATCGTTGACGAAGCTGAAAAAACAAAAAATAAATAAATAAAAAGTTGTCTTTTTCCTCCCTTTTTTTCTTTGTTTTCCCTTTTTCGTTTGTTTTCATTGTTACTCTTCTGTTTGCTGCCAAAGATGAAAAATTCAAAAGCTGTTCCAGCTTTTTCTTATCTGTTTTCTGCTAAAAGTTTTTTCTTCCAAAAATAGCGTTAACATTAGCTCCGAAAATTTGTATTTTAGTGTCTTAAACTTATCAAATATGACCATGAAATATATTTAAATTAAATATAAATATAATACGAATAATATTTATATTTTAAATTTAAAATATGTATATGTGTATATTTAATAGTTATATAACACGACATGATATGTTTATTAAACTTATTAATGTACGATACAATGAAATTAACAACACGCTTAATACGATTATATAAAAAATATTTATAATTAAATATAATTTTTTTAATTAAATTTAAAATTAATAATTATAATAAAATAAAATAATAATCATATTAAATATAATAAAATTTAATATAAATATATAAAATTCATTATCATGTAATATGATAAAATCTCTCCTTAACATCTAATTTTAAAATACTAATACTATTTGAAATCATTCATAATTTTCATCCATAATTAAATATATATCATTATCCATATCATCAATCATGAATAATTCCAAACACCCAAATTAAAATTATTTAAGTAAAGTTAAAATAGTTTTTAACTATTAATTTTTAACAAATTGATAAACTTATCATGTATATACGTTTAAATATGATAACATGATTAATTAAACGTACCAATACGATTAAACACGAAACACGTTAAAATTAAACTCAAACCTATTTATTCATATATATTCTCCTATCATGTTAACTTGTTGTGTTGTATCATGTGTAGTGCATATTTGGAAAAAAAATATATCAATGGACGGAAGCTCAAGGTCAAAGCTCAAGTTCTATGGCCAAAAAAGAAAGCAACAAGTTGGATGAAAGTTGTTGTCCAGAAACTTAGAATTAATTTATGTAGTATTTTGGACATACAGTTTTTAAATTAGACAACTTTTATGCCGTATTTTATAAAGTTAAAGTTTTAAAAGAAAAACACTTTATAAATATATTTTCTATTTTAGTTTTTATATAACTAATAAATATTATTATTTAAATTTCAAATTTATTTCACACTTTTATCATTTGAATTAAATGCAAGATACTTTTTTTTTTTTCAATTTTACCATAATCTATTTACAATCTAAATTACTTGAGACAACTTTCATTGTCTTTTTCATCTTATTTTTTATATAATAATAAATATAATTATTCATTTTTTCATTGTCACTCTTAGCATTTGAATTAAATTCAAATTACTATTTATTCATTCTTATTATAGTTTATCTACCTTTGAAATTACTTAAGACGGGACTTTCATTGTTCTATATTTTATATCATTAATTAAATGTTAATTAGACAACTTTTATAATTTTTAGCTAAGTTTTCCAAGCAAGAAATACGTTATAAATCTAACTCCTCGTCTTATTTTTTATATTAAACAATTAATATTCTTATTTAAATTTAGAAAGTTTACTCAAAATTTTAAATCTTGCCCCGCTCTTATCACTTGAATTAAATTCAACTTATTATTGACTCATCTTTACTATGATTTATCTAACATTGAAATTACTCAACGATTTTCACTATTATTTGGTTTATATCATTAGCCAAATATTAATTATAAAACGTTTATAATTTTTCTTATCGAGTTAAGTTGTAGAAAAGAAAACATATTATAAATCTTCTTTCTCATCTTATTTTTCATATAAACAATAAGTATTATTATTTAAATTAAAAAAATCCAAAAAATTTAAATTTTAAAAAATTACTCAAAATTTTAAATCTAGAACTAAATTCGAGTTATTATTTAATTTTTTTTACTATAATTAATCTACTATTAAAATTACTTCAAACAACTTTCATTATCCTCCATTTCATATCATTAGTTAAATGTTAATTTTATAAACTTTAAACATTCGAAAAACTATAATTTACTAGTAGATATGTAATCTTTACTATGATTAAGACCTCGAAATTTCTTTCCCAACTTAACACAAAGAAAGGAAAAAAAACAATTTTTTTTGTTTTTATTAGCTCTTTATGTTTTAATTAGCAATCTTGAAATGACCTTCTACCTTATGATCTTTTTTTTTTTTCACAAATCAAAATTAAAACACAAAAGCAACATCAAAGACAGATTACGTCTAAAAGAAATCAAATGCTATAATAATATTAATCTATTAATCTGATTGTATATTATATCTTCAGTGGCAATGTTTATTTGGACTAATTTGATTCCTATGATAAAATTTCAGAAATTAAACAAAATGAGAACTAGGCATCAAATGGGTTGACATTTTAAAGAAAAACTGGATTTTTAGACTAAGTTAGGAGACTTTTCAAATCATGAAAATCGATAGCTTATCAAATCGTGAAAGCCGAAAGCTAATCATCGATTCATAATAGTTGTACAATATGAAGGTGACTTCCTTAAATTAGAAAAGAAAAATAAATTAAAAAATAAAAATCTATATTGGATTCAATTTGGAACAACTCATGATGACACTTGAAGACATTGTTGTAGTCAATTGGACCACAAGATCCGACTATTGACCCGAGAAGTTTAGTAAACGTACATTTGTCCCAATTAACTTGAAAATTACATTCTTTTCTCCTCAAAAAATAAATTATCATTAATGTCAAAATTTATTTTTCTTAATATACGGGGTAGGACAAATCCCCAATTAATATAGACAAGCAAACATAAAAAAAATTATAATCAAAAAAATTTTAAATTTCATTAAATTAAATAAAAAAAATTTATAATACCGAAAACAAGATGTCTTTCGATTCATATAAAAATTAATTTTAAAGTAAATATGAAAAATCTAACAATCTTAATTGTTTAAATAATCAAAATTTGTTTTAAATACTAAAAATATTTGAAAAGAAAAGGAATCATTTTGGAGTGAGAGTATTATCCATTAATTACCCCATATATTACTCAAATAATAAAAAATAAAAAATGTTAATACTTTGATGTAAATTTGCTTAATTATTCATATCCGAGTATTTGATTTATGGATTGATGCATTATTTTGTATTTAAAAAGTAAAATTTGAATCTTCTTTTTCTTAATTATATAAAAAAAAATTACTTAATTAGTTTTTTCTTTTCTTTTTTTTTTACTTCTCTTTTTAATATTGGAGGATTTACTGATTCAGTTTTAAATTATTTATGAAACCGTCACTGCCCCTCACCCCCAATTTCCTTTTATTTTTAAAATAACATAGCGTTGACCTGAAGAAATGCATGCCAATGCAATGCTCAGTAAACGTCGTCTTCATGATATTAAACACTTTCTGAGACGGCATTGATCAGCAAATTTGGCAGCGGTGCCTGTGCTGACTGCCAAAATTACTTTGCGTCATGGGCTATTTTGTCATCAGCTTTGGCATATAAGGTAGATTAATTAATTGGTTAATTAACTACCCCTTTTCAAGACCATTATCAGGGTGAAGGAAAATGGAACGAATAGTTGTACCACAAAACACTTTTCCCTATTGAACTCACAATTCCTGGCTTTCTAAAGCCAATGGTGATTGGTGACTGATTTGATTATTCATAATTTATCGAAGTGGCAACATCAATTTATTTGCTTACAAACATACCAGAAATATCTTAGTTCTACCAGACAGACCCATGCATCTCCCATTATTATAACCCAAAAGTTAACACTTTCTTCAAACCAAATCTGAAATTTTAAGTTGGCTTAAGCAATATTCCAGTCATTTCCAAGTATATTCTTCAGCTTTGCCAGTTGATCTTCGGGTAGGGTCATGGTCACGATCTTCCCGCTGCCACCTTCTTTTTCTGGGCCGGGGAGAATCAGAACAGTTCCCTCATCACCAACTCCATTGATTGTATAATTTACAAACATTGGTCTCTTCCCCTTGAGTTCTAGTCCGTAAAGATTTGCTTCTTCCAAGTCTACAAATGTCAAATTTGCTCCATATACTATAAAATCTGATCTTGCTTCATCTCTTAATAATTCTTCAATCAGACCATTTTCAGGCATCCTCTTTTCAGCAATCAACTTCGCCAGTTCAGTTACTTCGCCCTTGGAGACAGAGAAATCTGCTTCCACTGTGCTAAATATCATACCGTTACTTGGCATTTCATTTTCTCTAATGAGGGAATTATTCGAACAAATTGTAACAATCCTTGGCCCCATATCTCCTCTGATTTTCGATAATGAATGCCATATCATAGCAGAAAGGATTTCGAAATGAGAGATATTATATGTTTGGCTTGGATCACGAGTACTTGAAACCATGTGGTGCAGTTGTTTCGCAGTGACATGAAAAGAGTAAGTTTGCTTGTTGTGGCTATTGGCAGTTAGCCAGCAGTCACCAACAGGGTCAACCTTCTTCAAGGAAAGAGGTTTTCTGGAAACAGAAGTTGGGAGTTCTGACTTCTCAGGATTGTGGACCTGGAGAGACTTTGGTGGAACTTGTCCAGCCATGATCTGTCCCCACAAATTGATGAAGGCTGAAGCTGAAAATGCATCTCCTAATACATGAGCCCAGCTTAGCCCTATGGATATGCCCCCACACTTGAACCAGGTGAACTGATCGGAAAAATCAGTTAGATGTTTCTCACACAAATGGGCAAAAAAAAAGAAAAGTAAATCAACAAATTTGAAATTACTTAAAAGTCTAAATATCTTAAAAGAAATACCTAGATTTCTTTACCTAATTAAACTTATCAGTATTTCCTTTTAAAAAATTCTCCATCTATGAAATTGACTCGTAAATGGGGTCAT